GCAAGCAGGCAAGCAGGCAAGCAGGCAAGCAGGCAAGCAGGCAAGCAGGCAAAATCATACCTTTTACTGTTATTGAAGGACTTTTGACGTTTGCAACAACATTCGATGCCACACAGTAGTACTGTGATATACTATTTTTACAGTCTTCATTTTGTACGAGTAACGTTCCATTTGCAGCTTCAACGGTTGTATTTCTTATTTCGTCATACCAAATAGTATTTGGTCTTGGGGTCCCTGTGGCTTTGCATTGCAGTGTAATGCTATCGTTCCTCATTGTAATTCGATTGTCTGGATGATCTACTATAGTTGGTGATTCTGTGAATAGCGTATTTATAGATATTATTAGTTATAAGTTTATATATTTAGGTATAAGTTACATTGAAATACTGCAATTTTTCTACTTTTCAATTCATTAGAGTGAAATCTGCTGCATAAATAACTAATAAATAAAAATAAATTGATGATCCTAAATGAAATTAAAGTTACAGCACGAAAAGTAATGCTTATTAATTGATAACATTATAACCATTTTGAACTTTTTTATTAGGATTTAACTTACGATAGATCGGTATTTTGAGGTATTTTGCCTTTTCTTGCCCATATTTGTTCTTTGCAATACAGCTGACAGTAAGATACGTTCCATTACTTGGTGTAGTAATTGTGACATTACCATYAGACGAATTTACCATTGTTAWATTTCCTTGTTTGATGGAGTAATTTGCTGGCGGAGAAGCGTCTGCATTACAGAATACTTCAAATGTTTTATTTGCTGTTGCAAATTTCATATCCGATGTCAGCTTTGTATTTATTGGTTGATATTCTGCATAGTAATAATGACAAGATAGCACAAGTCACATGAGATCGGAAAGAAATTCTCAGGTTTCGACGCTAAGACCATTCGAGTGTTCAACCACCTGCCATGCTAAGCAAGTAAGCCTATATAAAAATGTTGATCTAAATAGCAGAAGGTACATACAGGTCTCTTCTGTTTACTCTACCTTCCTCCCTGTTTAGCAAACTGATGTCTTTGCTATCTGATCATTAGCCAGCCGTACCTGATTTATTGGCTGGAAACAGTCAGCCAATCATCGATAGCGTGCAAGGCTGCATAAAAAGGATACCTGCAGCGTTTTTCTTYTGCAGATAATAAATTTATCTTTTATAATTTAACTTAAGGTGAAAAAAGACATTTCAAAAACGGTTTGTTTTCATTCGTCGGCCAGTTAGTTACCTTCATTTCCATTTTTACTTTTTTCTTTTTCTATTTTTTTTTTTTATTGTTCAAAATATAGATGATAATATCCAACAAATCCCTCTCTTCCCCCCTTTACGATGACACACAACATATCATGAGTGATAGCATTTTGCTATAAAGTCGCATACCTGTTACTTTAACAGACGTACAATTAGTCTCCTCCCCAAAACCGTTTGACACATGACAGCAGTACTTTCCTCCTGATGCTTTACCAGTAATGCTGAATGACGTCACACTGGAATTAGCTATTGCTCTGTTCRTATCCTTGCGTATCCATGTATAATTGGGTGCTGGATGTCCAGAGGCATTACATCTTAATGTTATTGAATCTCCTTGTTTTCCATAAAGGTGCGAGGTCAGATAGTTGATACGAGGCAAAGCTACACATAGAAATAGAGAGAGAATAAATGTGAGATTTTGCYCTTGCTGGYTGAGMGTAAYAGTCAGGATTGGCAAAGTTGGTGACAATTTTTCATCAAGCCAGGTTCCGAATGCGCCATACATACCAATGCAAGAAACGAGGCCAAATTGATTAAAGCAAGTTCGACTACATACGTTTATCTTTTTTTTTTTTTTTTTTGCCGAGCTTTCGGAAATGTTTACTGCCGTCCATTTTGAACGTAATGATAAAACTGATGAGTAGGATTCGGTGTCGTACGTGAGTAGGGTTGGTTCTCTCCTGTGGTTTGAGGGTTTTTCCTCCGGATTTGCGATTTTTCCTCCCTCCACAAAAATAAACTTCTAAATTCGAATTCAATTCATTGGCTGCTTTATCAATAGACCTCTTCGGCTTTGACGTAATGTTTTCCCATTTCAGRCCACGTGTCATTCCCTAGAGTATCATTAATTATTTGTTTAAGGTTTGTGCTCGGTTGCACATGAGAAGACACATGAATATGGATACAGCTCAAACAAAGAATCTTATTCTCAAGGAAAACATTACCCCAAGCCCCATAGGTCTATTGCTTACTATCAATCACGTGACTTTTTGGAGTTGACTGGGGGGCAAACAAGCGGTTGACTGAGGGGAAACTAGCGGATGTTAAGTCAAAACATGTCAAAATAAGTCTTCAAACTATTGTATTTGACTATTTTCACGATATCAAACCAGAAAACAAGAGATCAAAACAACCTCCAAGATTCTACAAGCCATCAACAACGCAGCTATTACCGGAAGTGACGTCTATTGATAGCAACCTATTGGGTGGCAAAACCAGTTAGGCATTACGCAGCTTACCTAGGATTTTTAACAATATTGCATTAGACGACTCACAGATTATTCAGTCCGTATGCAATGTAGGAGAAGTGTTATTACTTTGATGTTTTTGATGTCAATTTAATTGAATTGGATTGAAGTATTTAGTTATTCCATACAGAGGTATGGGTGCGTTACTCACCATATATGAAGAGCATCGTGCATGCCTTTTCTGATGGTTCACCAATACACATAACCTCACAGCAATATGATCCACTTTTTTCTTTTTCAACATCAGGGATGATAATTGTTACATTCGATCCACCGATAACAGAGAAATGAGCATCCATATCATTCTTTGTTAAAATATATTTGTGTGTAGCTGGGATTCGTTGGGCTATCTGTCTATTGTCGTAAATAAGTGTAGATACAACAAATTTCTGGTTGCAATCGTAATGCCAGGTGATGTGAACCGTAGATCCAACATGTCCAAACTTTTGGTTCGAAGGTTTTGAGATCCACTTTAACCCATCTGTAGGACACAATATTTAATTATCAACGGAAAATTACTTTTCAAATTTACATTTCTAACTTCATTATAAACCCATCTAAAACATCGACATATCGTACATACTAGATTTTAATTTTTTTTAGGAAACAATATTTTCAAACTAATACAAGGGAGTCTTTTRCAAGCATACGTATGCTGTTTTCACATGGTGGAGTTTGCAAGATCGAGAACCACGCACATACGTGCAATGAATTGGGAAAGGTTGGGGATTATAACAAAAGGCCAGAGGTGAGCAACTGCAGGCTATGGGGAGTACAGAGCAGAAAGAATAATCAATTGATTGATCACCACGTCTATCCATAAATGTAGCAGGCAAGTGGTAATAACCGTATGGGATTTGGTATTTATTTACGAAGAACTTGATAATTTATTTGGAATGGTGGGGGTGGGGGGTCGGGGGGATAGAAATCAAAACGAAATTACCATGCCAACATCACCCCACATCGAGCGCTTTTTTGGTATGTTTGTTTGGTGGTGGTTGTTGTTGTCGTTGTTGTTGTTGTTGTTGTTTGTTATAATCCACTATGTCACTGCCCTTGCAACTTTCAACACCAAAATAGGTAAAGAGAGAAAGGAGTATAGTGTATAACGTGCCGAAATAAAATAATAACAGCTATGTTATTTCTTAATCATACCTGACAAGTTRATACTGAATTGAAAGCCGATGCAAATGATTAAAATAAGATTGAAGCTCAGTAGAAAACAGTTCATCTTTTACCTAAGTAAAAAACATAAACCACTATTTAAAAAAGAGGTGATAAAGGTTATGTTGCATGATTATGATGACAACGATTATAGCGCTCTCTTCCATATAGATATGTTCAAGGGCTTTTACAATACTTTATGAATGAGAGATGGTTAGTATGAGATGTAGGCACTGAGGGTGATCACTGCCAGGGTTCAGTTTACGTCCTCAGTGGTTCTTTTTGTGTCCCTCTGATATTGGTTGGTAATGATGAAGTGTGGAGAGAAGGGACCGCCATTTAAAGTGGTCATCCGAGCCACTTGAAGGTCTAGCCGTTTGCAGATGTTGCATGTTGCATGTTGCATGTTGCATGTTGCATGACAACAAAAAGTAATCTTTTTTTTGCTTTAAACAACTAGTTGCAGCAAATTATGAGGATGAAAAAATAATAAGTATAGTTTAATGAATGAGCAGGAGTGTTTTATCGGATTTAAAACCTGATAAAAACACGATTTGCGAGTTTATTGAATGACTTTWAAAAATCATGAATAATTAATGACTATTTAGGGTCCTTATTCGTGCCATACTCTTGTACTCTTTTGCTGCTTGGGTACGGGCATCCATAGTTTAAAGTCAGCTGTGGCTTTTCTGTAAAACTAAGAAAACCAAACCAGCTTGGCGAAAATACCGCAGACTTCAGAGAAATTTAAAAAAAGGCTTTTGACTTTTTTATTTTAACTCATGCCGTCAAAGTCTTGAAATTTGAATCAATGAGCAAGTAGTCCATTGACACTTTCAAGTACCATTATTAAAGAATTCGAAAAGGTCAGATTTAGTCTAAATTAATTTCTCCTTTGGATATATCGTCTTCCCTGGTTAATATTTGGATGTCAACAGCTAGCCCCAAAATCCCTTTTTCTGCTAGAAGAGCGCTTACTACATACATGAAAGAGTACTAGGAACTAGCAAATATATATCATTTTCTCCCATCCTGACATTTTTAATTATAATTTAGCATGTATATCAATATGTTATAATAACAAGACAAAGGAGGACATGGATTCAAAGATAATTTAAATGACAGTGATTCTGAGTTATTTTTTAAATCCCAATCCATTTCTTTTTTCAATATATATTTCTTAGCAACCATGCGGAAGCAATCGGTAAAATACTCATCGTTTTAAAGCTTACATCTAAAATTATTTGTATCTCTTTTTTCAAAAATATGTGTGAAAAGGCTATTTCAATTTAGGCGAATTTCAAACTAGTTAGATAAAATATGTAATTTCAATAACTGCGCAAATTTAAATTTGATATCTACTTACAGAAAATAGCGAACAATAATTAGATTGGAAGCAAAAGAAGATCGCCTTTCTTCATTCTTATCGGCTGTACCAGGGGAAGTACCAGCTTATAGAGAGAAAATGTAAATTCCACTATTTTTATCATTCTCGCTATAGCCAATGTGAAGCGCTTGTAAAGGATCATGGTCCGGGTACGTTTGTCCACTGCCCAAGGTACTTTGCGCGCGATATCCTGCCTTGCTTTGATTGGCTGATGCACATTTCGAATTTAGGCGCCATTTTGGTTCAGTTACATGGATTGTTCTTGGATAAATATGCTACTTTTTTGACATAATGCCAGAGTAAAATCGCTGAAATTCATACCATGTTCCAGAGCAAGATCGCTGAAAATCATACCCTGTTTCGGTATTGCGAAAATGGATATCCTGTTCCAGAGAGGAGAGAGCGTGATTTCATATACCCTGTCTCATAGCGAGCGCGATTTTATATACCCTGTTCCAGGGTAGAATCCCTGAAAACCATACCTTGTTGGCGGCATGTACCCGTATAGCGAATATAGGGGAGTACCCCCCGGGTACAAGATGATCAGGATCTGTAACACGCTACTCCAGCAGAGTACCAGATTCCTTAAAACGTTGGAGAACTGAGTATCTAACGGAATTACGAGGTGGTACACAGGCAACAACGACAGTTAAATTTATGTTAGATGATTAACAAATTAACGTTATATACTGGTTAAATCGAGGCAATACTATGTGTTCACCATATCGATTTTTTTTCCAAGCGGGAATGGAGGGCAATCAAATCTAACTGATTTGATGTCTTAATCACCCTGAGGCTTAGAAATTGACAGGTATAAGCTCTTTTAAGATTAAAATCATGGATTAAAATCATTAAAATGGATTAAAATCATGGAAAGAGAAAAAGAACGAAGAAAGAAAAACACCAAAAAATAGAAAATAAAAAGAAATGGAAAACTTTTCTAACCTGTAACACAGAGCTTCATATCTTCTTGTTTCTTTATTGTTGTTACATTAATAATCCTATCCTCAAGACCGAAACAGTACATTCCTTTTTTACTTCCTTCTAAACCCAAATTTGGAAGAAAAATAATAATCATTCAAAGCCTAAAGCTGCATACTGTAAAATCACTGAAGTTTTAGTTATGGTGGTGAACGCACAAGGTCGAAACTAAAGTTCGAAACAGTTTCTTCATGAAGTCTTAGTAATCTTCACATGTGCGGGAGGTGGTCGCTTTCGAAAACTTAAGATTATCGACCGCATTGTTTTGCACCTATTGTTTTGCGCATATTTTTCTGCGCATAGGAGTAGAATCATGAAACTTGCAAGCTTAGACATTTTCCTCTCGTATGCTAAGTAAAAATTCTATTCAAATCTAAATAACACTTTTTCTCTTCTTTGAGTAGAAAAATTGTGATTTTTGTAAAACTCGAAACGACGTTTTTGTTAAAGCGCTGAAACCTCTAGATAATCTATGACATGGATGAATAAGTGTCGTCGGGGCTAGAAGGGATACTTCACGGCGCACTCTTATCTGAATACTATATCAATGTTGAGGTGCATGTTGCGTCATAGCTGCCATCTTTCCTCATTATCTTCCCTTGCTAGATCAACTAAACTGACGCTTTTTCATTATTATATATATCAAGGGAGTCATATGGTTACACCGCAAGAATAATTTTTGTTTGAATGCCAAATGAATGCTTGAATGCCAAAAAAAATCTGAATTTTTGAGTATGATATGATATTCTTTGTGTCCTCTACTACTCTCTGGCTCAAGCTCCATTTTTTTCGCATTTGACTTCTACGA